GCTGGAGCCGTCTGCTCCTGAGGGACTGCACCCCGTGGGAAGGAGGGACCCAGGCTGGAGCAGCTGGTGAGGAACTGCAGCCCGTGGGAAGGGCCCAGGCTGGAGCAGCGCGTGGGGGACTGTCTGCCGTGGGGGGGACCCCGGGCTGGAGCAGGGGAGGAGTGTGAGGAGTCCTGCCCTGGGGAGGAAGGAGCGGCAGGGACAGCGTGTGATGGACTGACCCCAACCCCCATTCCCTCCCCTTGTGCCTCTCAGGGAGGAGGGAGAGAATTTAGGCGTGAATTTGAGCCTAGGAAGAAGGGAGGGGTGGGGGGAAAGGTGTTTTAAGTTTCAGCAGTTTTTATCCTCTCCTACTCTGATTTTGATTGGTAATAAATTAATTTCATCAAGTTGAGCCTGTCTTGCCCGTGATGGTAACTGGCAAATAGTCTCTCCCTGTCCTAATCTTGACCCATGAGCCTTTCATTCTCTCTCCTGTCCTGTTGCAGAAGAGGAGCCATAGAGCAGCTTTGGTGGGCATCTGGTGTCCAGGGTCAACCCATCACACTAGATTAGTGATTCCACTGTTAGATATCTTTTTTTTTTTTTTTTTAACTTTTATTTCAGTAGCTTAAATATACTTATTTTTACCTTCTTATTGTCCAGGTATTTGAAAGATAAACGATCTGTGATTTCCTTAGCTGTTTTTTTAACCATTGGTAAGAAAATGTTAACTGAGGTGTTAATTTGGGAGGGAGTTAACTATAGATAAATTACTGATCAATTTACAGTTTTCAAAGGTCTAATAAATGTTCATGTATAAAATGAAATCTTTGGTGTATACCACATAACCTTTAAATCATTTTTGCCTTTCTTTTAGGTCTTCCTGAACAATACTACAGCCTCACTTGGTTCCTTAGCCCTATCCTGGGCTTGATCTTCACTCCGCTTATAGGTTCGGCTAGTGACCGCTGCACACTGAGCTGGGGCCGCCGGCGGCCTTTTATTCTTGCTCTCTGCATTGGCGTCCTCTTCGGAGTTGCACTTTTCCTTAATGGCTCTGTTATAGGTAAATAATAAGGAAATCACCTGCCTCTATCTCCTGCTAACACACCCACTTTAAGATTTTTATGTAGGAAGTAAAGATAATGATAAGCAGTTGCTTTAACTGATGTTTAGTGTTAAAATCATTAGAAATCTCTGCAATGCTGCATTTCAGCTATCCATCTTGCCTGGTTTTATTCTTATTCGAAAGTTACGGGGCTGTACTAAGTATTGTGCAACCATAGCTGTAACTGTTAATACAGCATTATTAATACAATGGTTGCCAGCAAAATGTTTGCAGTCACCGAGATGAATTTGGTCGATCCTTGACATGGGAAAATTGTAGCAACCTGTTCACAGGGAAATGTTTCCTGTTGTGATCCATTTTCCCTTTAATGCATATCTGGCAACACATCCTGTTTCCAGCATTATTTCAAAAATTATCTTTTCACTTTTTCTTGTGCTTTTCTTAGACCTCGTATTGAAAAAGTCCAGAACACAGTTAATATTTGTTTATCAAAAACTATGTGGGAAAACAATTTTTCCTGAGCCCCCATCAAAGCTGGTAAAAATAGTTTCCCTTGAACATAGTTTACTACTGAACTTAATCTCCAATCTATGATCTCTTTGTAAATTTAGTGTAGGAGAGGTGACAGCAAGTACGTTTGGGGAAATGTTTACATCATGGTTGGACTGATGCAAATGGAAGGAACTTAGCACCTAATAATATCCTCTTGGCGCTCTCTTTTTTTCTTTTTTTTTTTTTTTTCTCCCAGAAAACACAAGTGTGATTATTCTGAAAATCTGATTTGTTGGGCTATTTTCAGTGTCCCATCATTTACAGAATTTAATTGAGTAAAACCTTGCTGAAGCCAGTACGAGTTGTTCCTGGCCACACCAAATCTGACTCTGGCCTAGAAAAGAAGTAAAGTGGAAGGTGTCACGTTCCAAAAAGTTCAATGACATCTGAAGTGAAGAAGATGAGATAATCAACTAAAATACTTGGAGGCTTACTTGAAAGGCAAAAGCATTATCTTGAAAAAAATGGTGCATGACTATTTCTAATATGACTTCAAAGTGTCTTTGAATTTGAAAAAATCCAGGCTGCCACTGTAATTTTGGCAAAAACACTTTAAAGCTAGCATATCCTTAGTGAGGCACCACTATGGCATCCAGAAATATATTTCAGACCACTGGAATGTCTTTGGTCATAATATTGCATCAGAGTTACATAATTGTGATCACGACAATGATCTTTTGTCGTTAATGTTTATGACACTTCAGAATTAATGAGGCGATGACTTTTCACTGACATAATACATTGAGCTTGTTTTGCAGAATAAAGGTACACAGGGCTTCTCTTCAGCATTCCTCCTTACCTAGGGCTGTAAAATGGCTTTTTGAAGGGTCGTTAGGCTCCAGGTACATTAGGCTCCTTTGCTTTCCTAAATATAAAGTGCTACAAAATCTACCGTTAATACCAAGGCTCTGACTGTTTTTGTTTGTATTAAGGGAAGTACAAACACAGAACAAACAAGGTGGTCTGTGCCCTTGAGAGCGTCTTTCTTTTATTGTAATCGTTTCCCTTCCGTGTTTGTCGCTCTAATAGTGCTCCACTGTGTTGGGGCATGTGAACCTGACTGACGACTGGCAAGAAACACATGAAAAGATTATGTAAAAAGAGAAGTGGGCCAGGTTATTTCCATCGCCCAGGATAAACAAAATGGAGAAGCTAAACAACAAACATGGAATAATGGCTTTTGAATTAGGGGCTTGGGTTTTGTTTTTTTTCCAGTGGCTTAAGCTTAATGACCAAAGGAGGTGATAGTAGTAAAAGTGAATGCACACCTGTAATCTAACCATGTCCATCTGAATTTAGCTGGAAGTCATTTTATAGTATGTGGGCTGATTTTCGGAGAGAGCGAGCATCCACCATTTCTGCTGATTTTGATGGAAGCTGCAACTGCTCAACGTCATTAAACAATCCGTCTGCAAGGTATCCTGCGAGGTAAAGCACCTATTCTTCCAAAGGCTTTGACTAAGGAGGAGTCTGAGAGCCACAGGGGCTGGGTACGTCTGTGCTCAGCTGCTGTTACTGTCAGCATCAGGATGAGCCAGGTGGGCGCCTTCCTGGGACAGAAGCACATGGAGTTCAGATGCCTACAGACCAGTGCTTGGGAACGACACTTTGCCACCCAGAACATCGGTTCTTCACAGACAAAATGGACAACAGATAAGAAAAAGACATAATTTCCACCACTTACCATTCCAAATTTACTACTGGGTGGGCAAAAAGACTCCGCCATGAAGTTGCCCATGGTGATGCAGCAAGTCTGTGGCAGAGCTGCAAAATACATTTCTGCGCCCTGAGCCCAGGCAAAGCGCTTTAACTGCAAAGCCATCCTTCATGCTGCAATTAAGTGATTAATGTTAACCTTACAGCTGGTATAAATAAAGCCACGTACATACTGGGTTTAGTACAGTTTATACAATAGGCAGCTCTTATATGTGATTTTTCACGTCAGGCTGGAGTTTCTGTAAGATTAATTCCCCTTGGGCCTTCCTTTTTTTTTTTTTTTTTTTTTTTTTTTTTGGTTAGGTGCAGCTCTATTGTGAAAAAGTTTTACTAATTGAGGGAAATGAGTGGGACATTACCTTGGCTCAGCATGTTAGCTTTTTAAAGCCAGATTGGGGTGCCATATGATGGTTTTCAGTTTTCTGCAAACTGCAGTGGACAAACTCTTCAGATGAATGATGTTTAGGTTATGTTTTTTTTAATTTACCCAAGCAATAAATGTTAATTATTTGAATTGCTATCAGATGTTATCAATTGTACTGTGTAGTTGTGTCTCCAAGACTTACTCCTCCTCGTCCAGATGCATGCAAGATGCAGCCCTCTTACAAGATTTTAACTGATAGGAAGCTCTTAGTTCCACACAGTGGTTTAGGTCCATAGCCATTGATACTGGCAAGCAAAGCTCATACGCAGTTTATAGGTTTATTTTGAAGTATTTCACCTTCTAATAAATCAGGAGAAAATAACGTCTTTGATTTTTCTCTAATTCTTTGTTCCACAGTAATAGAGGCTATTGCATAGCTTCCTAGAAAACTTGTGCTTTGCAGATACTCCAGAGGTACTTTTGTGCAATGAAATGTCTTTAAAACGCAGAGGTTGTCGCAATGCACTGCAAAAGTGAGCTGTATGCTTTATGCATCCATCCCTGGGACATGGTTGTGGTAGGCTTTGAATGAAAACGCTCTTCTGCAAAGCCCTTTAAACACTGCTGTGCCTCTCCCAGGGGAGCCCAGAGAGAACTGAACTGAAGTGAGAGCCATTCCATGGTCTTGTCTTAGACGTGTTCCATACTAGAAGGTAGAGATTTGCCTCTAACATCCAGTTTCCATCAACGTAAGGTAGCACTTGATATCAGCGTAAGACAGCACTTGATCTACTGTTCAGAGCAGATGCACAACATGGTAAAGCAATGTTGGTCTTCCCATTTTATGTTCACACTTTCCTATCCTTAGTCTCCAGTTACTTGCACTCCTAATTTCAATTTGGGGCTACAGGAGATGCTGCAAAAACTGAGGTGGTCATTGTATTGTACCCTTTTTCATAACCTGGCCTCTGGCAATAGGAGTCACTAGGAGAGGAACAAGGAGCACGCTAAAAAAGAGGTTCTCCAATCCTAATAATAACACGACCATGCCCCGGGAGAACAGCTATGTATAGATCTTACTCAACTCTCATTCTCTCCACTGTACGCACTGTTCAGGTTTCCAACAAATCTAAAGCACTGACACCGTTGGGGTTTTCTGCTGTAAGATTCAGCCAAGCGTGGAACGTGTATAAACATCTTTAGCATTCAGAGGACTTGTTATAAATGAGGACTGAATATGCAGGAATCAAAGCACTTGAGATTTAGATGATTTTTGGTGGCTTAGCCAGTTCATCTCTTTCCACAGTCATTTTCCTCAGTTACGCTAATGGTTTTATAAGTGTCTTGCGTGTGTAACATTTAAATCTCTCTGATTGAAGTAATTCGTGCTTTTGTCAGTGGTTCCTTCCTTCCATGAAAATTTCTCTAGCTATATACTAATGCTGGCTTTTTTTTTTTTTTTTTTTTTTTTTTTTTGGTTAGGTGCAGCTCTATTGTGAAAAAGTTTTACTAATTGAGGGAAATGAGTGGGACATTACCTTGGCTCAGCATGTTAGCTTTTTAAAGCCAGATTGGGGTGCCATATGATGGTTTTCAGTTTTCTGCAAAGTGCAGTGGACAAACTCTTCAGATGAATGATGTTTAGGTTATGTTTTTTTAATTTACCCAAGCAATAAATGTTAATTATTTGAATTGCTATCAGATGTTATCAATTGTACTGTGTAGTTGTGTCTCCAAGACTTACTCCTCCTCGTCCAGATGCATGCAAGATGCAGCCCTCTTACAAGATTTTAACTGATAGGAAGCTCTTAGTTCCACACAGTGGTTTAGGTCCATAGCCATTGATACTGGCAAGCAAAGCTCATACGCAGTTTATAGGTTTATTTTGAAGTATTTCACCTTCTAATAAATCAGGAGAAAATAACGTCTTTGATTTTTCTCTAATTCTTTGTTCCACAGTAATAGAGGCTATTGCATAGCTTCCTAGAAAACTTGTGCTTTGCAGATACTCCAGAGGTACTTTTGTGCAATGAAATGTCTTTAAAACGCCAAGCGTGGAACGTGTATAAACATCTTTAGCATTCAGAGGACTTGTTATAAATGAGGACTGAATATGCAGGAATCAAAGCACTTGAGATTTAGATGATTTTTGGTGGCTTAGCCAGTTCATCTCTTTCCACAGTCATTTTCCTCAGTTACGCTAATGGTTTTATAAGTGTCTTGCGTGTGTAACATTTAAATCTCTCTGATTGAAGTAATTCGTGCTTTTGTCAGTGGTTCCTTCCTTCCATGAAAATTTCTCTAGCTGTATACTAATGCTGGCTTTCTACTCTGTAGACAAAAAGCATTTCATTCCATGCTGTCAACAGAAGTTGACGCATTTTGCAATGCAAAGCGCTGCATGTTGCATCATCCTTCAAAGTTTTGCTTTTAAAAGTGATCTAGAAAATACGAATGTTTAAGAAAAGCAAAGAGAGAGGTGAGGGGGTTAAATTTCACTTTATGCTGTCATGCTGCGACCATGACATGTTAGGCACCCTGTCAGGAATGCTGTCACCGGTGCAGTTACCTGTGTTAGTAACTGATAGATGAGGTGTGACAGTTTGGGTTTGGATGCTCTCCTCTCTCACCATAGCTGTCTCTTATAAAAACAGCCTTCAGCATTTGAAGGAAAATATATGCGAGGAGCATGAAATAGTATGTAATGTTCTCAAAGGTTTAAGAGAAACTTATTTTAAAAATAACATTTTGAAAAATAAATGTCAGCCCTAAAAATTAGAAAACTTAATCTTCTGTCCCAGACCTTCCATGAAGCTGTGCCAAAGAGTTGAAATTGCCATTCTACACTGTAAAAGAATATTTCCAGTGAGTGTGTTGGCCACCTTTCTCTTAAGGAGTTAAGCTTGGTCTTAGCAGCTTTCCCTTTTTGAATGACATGCTCAGATTCCTCTTCTATTTTCCCTCAGGTCTGGCTATTGGTGATGTCCCGGACAAGCAGCCCATTGGTATCGTTCTCACAGTGCTTGGTGTTGTGGTGTTGGACTTTTGCGCTGATGCAACAGAAGGGCCAATTCGGGCCTACTTGTTGGATGTGGTGGACAGCGAAGAACAAGACATGGCCCTGAACATCCATGCATTTTCAGCTGGTATGGAGTTAGTTGATACAGCTTTGGCAGCTGTCAGGTCTTCCTGATGACCAAGTTGTGACTGAATTGATTTTTCCTGAACTCAATTCGCTTTTTTTTTTTTTCCTCTTCCACAGGTCTTGGAGGAGCAGTCGGTTATATGTTAGGAGGGCTGGACTGGACACAGACCTTCTTGGGTAGTATTTTCAAATCTCAAGAGCAAGTCCTTTTCTTCTTTGCAGCCATTATTTTCTCTGTCTCCGTTGCTCTCCACCTTTTTAGCATCGACGAAGAGCAATATAACCCTCAGCAGGACAGGATTGATGATGAAGGAGACACACTTTCCAGTGTCAAATTCAGTGGTAGTCTCCCCCCTCTGAATCGACTGAATGTAATTAGTGAGGAAGAGCCGTATGGAGCCTCTATGTTCCACGATGAGGTTCAGTCAGAGCATGATCTCAATATGGAGTTCCTTGAGGTAAACATTGTGAGAAGTAAGAGTGACTCAGTACTGCACATGCCCGATGCTACCTTGGATATTGAATCAGAGCTGCTTTTTCTGCATGACATCGAACCCTCCATTTTTCAGGATGCTTCATACCCAAACACTCCCCACAACACAAGCCAAGAGATCATGAAATCCAAACTCAACCACCTGTCTGCTTTCCTCAGGGACAATGAGAAGGAGGAGGAAATGTTGCTTGATAATCGCTTAAATGAAGATAAAGTCCCAAACGTGAACGGCTCCCTACCAAAAGAGTTCCTCAATGGACACGCTAGAATAGGCATGAAGCAATCTAGTACTTCAAATTCCATGCGAAGGCGGAGGCACATGTTCTACCGTCAGCCATCTTACACCTTCTCGTACTATGGCAAAATAGGCTCTCACCGCTATCGCTTTCGGCGGGCCAATGCCATCGTCTTGATAAAGTCCTCACGCAGCATGAATGATATCTACGACATGCAGAAGCGGCAGCGACAGAGGTACAGACACAGGAATCAGAGTGGCACGACAAATTCAAGTGGAGACACGGAGAGCGAAGAAGGGGAAACTGAAACCACTGTCAGACTCTTGTGGTTGTCGATGTTGAAGATGCCAAAGGAACTGCTGAGACTGTGCGTCTGTCACCTCTTAACTTGGTTTTCGATCATTGCTGAAGCTGTGTTCTATACAGATTTCATGGGCCAGGTCATCTTTCAGGGCGATCCAAAGGTAAGAGAACAGTTACCGTTGGCCAGCCTCCTTATAGTTACTCATTTCTGAGATGTGCTCGTTACAAAAAAATGGTTTTATGTTTGTGTTTGTTGCAGGCCCCTTCTAACTCAACCGAGTTACATGCCTATAATGCTGGGGTTCAGATGGGATGCTGGGGACTGGTAATTTATGCTGCTACTGCTGCCGTTTGTTCAGGTAAGAGACTCCGCGCAGTCAGTGGAATGCACCTCATAGATGTATTTGCAAGGTAGAAATAGTTTTGCTTCAGTTAGCATCCACCTCCTTATTTGGGGTGAAGGGTATTTTGGAAATGCATTTCACGTGGTCATGAGGCTTCATTTAAGGCTTCTTTAAGTATCAATATTAAAAAATTCCTCCAAACGCCGAGGTGGAAATACGAACAGATTGGTTAAGTGGCATAAAACACAAAATTATATTATATTGAGTGGCATTTAGCTAGTCATTAGGAAGCTAAATGATGCTTGTTCAAACATATGTAAGAGGGTTTTTGCAAAGACTTTTAAAAATCAAAATTACAAATATATATTTTTGAAAGCCTCTTCCTTGCTCTCTAATAACAGATAAACCAACTACAGACAATTTAGGCTTGGAATACAAACTGAAATCGAAAGCATTTGCCAAACATGAATTCTGCCTTTTGCAGCACGTGTGCAGGCACGTCTGCACAGATCAGTATGGGGGTGGGGGGGCTGCCTCTTTGTTGAGACACGTCAAGTTGAAGTTCAGGTGGGCAGCTTGTTTCTGAACACAAACTAAATATGGCTACGAACATCAATTATCTGATCGCTTTGTTTAGCTAATGTGCTTCTGTTAGAATCTCCTCTGTGCTCTGAGTGTACCTGCGTTGATGAAGTTAATAAGCAGGTAAAACTAATGAATGGACTGAGTGGACCATGATGTGTTTGAGCCTCAAAGCATTTTTTTCTGCCTTAGTCTTGTAGCGTGGTGTAGGCAAGTCTCGGCACTCATTTGTTCCCCAGTTTCTGAAGCAGCGATACATCCTTTTCCCCGTGAGGGCTGAGCTATGCTGCTAGGACAAGCCAAATATGCAGTGAACATCTGAGTCCCAAACAGCATATTGAGCTGCCGCGGCCCCGTCGATATCATAAAACTTCACCGAGTAAACTGATATATATGTTTTATTCTTGATCTCTCCAGCCTTGTTGCAGAAATACTTGGACAACTATGACCTTAGTATAAAAGTGATCTACATCCTGGGCACGCTGGGTTTTTCTCTTGGCACTGCAGTGATGGCTATTTTCCCCAACGTGTACGTCACCATGATAATGATCAGCACTATGGGAATCGTCTCTATGAGCATCTCCTACTGCCCCTATGCGCTTTTGGGACAATACCATGATATTAAAGAGGTATGGGGAGTATTTTGAATATTTTAATCAAGGCAGAGCATTCGCGTTTCTTTGAAGATCACAGTGGCGAAATGGATTTATCAAATCCCATTATTTGAGATGCCTGCTTTGCTGGGATGTGTGCCAAAGCACAGATTCATCCGTGATGGTAAATAGCAAGAGCTGCTGTTTAATTCAGATGGTATTAGCATCAGGTTGGCGCAGCGGGGTCGTGATTGCTTTGCCCTGTGCTGAGGTATAAAAGGGTTTGGGTGCAGATGGTAGATGAAGAGAGATGAAACAATTATTGGAGTACTTATTTTAAGCCTAGTTGTTACTGCTGTTTCTGACGTGTCGTGTTAGCATTGCTTGGGTTCTTCGCAGTCTTGGATACTGAGGTGTGTCTGGAAACGCAGCTGTAAGTTTGGGGAGACGTAAGGCAAACTGATTCTGCTGGAAACAAGGACAGATCTATTTTCCACTTCCTAGCACTGTTCCGTTTGTATTACAAATTACAGAAGGATCACTTATTTTAACATGTTTCTGCATTGGGATTTGATTATAAAAAGAGAGATTCCTTCTTATAATCATAAAAATAATTTCCACCAGCTGTTTCATGTAATTATTTTTTTTTACAAAACCTAATCTTGGAGCCAATTCACACTGGGAGTGCCCCAGTAAATGCCTGCCTCTTGGCGTAAGATGAGGAGGCCATTGATAAGTAGGTGAGGAGGCTGTTGCTCTGGACTTGTATAGCCTGCGTGATGCACAAGGGTGGTGTAAAGTTGATCGCGTGGCTGAGAAATTTGAGGAAGATACTAGTGTTTAAATATTTGATTTCATCCATTGCTGTACCTCCTAACGCGCTTCTTGTCTTTTTCCAGTACATTCACCACAGCCCCGGGAACTCAAAGCGAGGATTTGGCATAGACTGCGCTATTCTGTCATGTCAGGTTTACATCTCCCAGATCCTTGTGGCCTCCGCACTTGGTGGTGTGGTGGATGCCGTTGGCACAGTCGGAGTCATCCCCATGGTGGCTTCCGTGGGATCCTTCCTGGGTTTTTTGACAGCTACCTTCTTGGTGATTTACCCCGAAGTCAACGAAGAGCCAAAGGAAGAACAGAAAGGACTGGGTCCTCCAGAGACAACCGAAGGCAACGGCACGAGCACAGAGAAGCCGACTGTGCTGAAGCTCACGCGCAAAGGAGCTGCCGCGTCGGAGCTGGAGAGCGAGTCAGCCGTGTAAGGCCGTCGCTTGTCGTTCACCCACATTCCAGGGGGGGCAGGTGCAGGATCACGAACTTTCCTTTTTCTTTTCCCCAGGAAAACAAATTAGGATCTTCACTACTTGTAGCTAAAATTGCAGAAGAAAAGGCAGTTCCATGCAAATGAAATTCGTGTAAATGAAATTCTGTAGTCCTTAATATAGGCTTGAACAGGTAGCTATGATGCTAATTGCTTTCTCTACAACTTAGAAATGTCATTTCTGAACACTTTTTTTATTAAGAATACATTTACATTTCAAATAAGTTTTATTAATCTGCATGAGACTCACAGTGTATACAATTAGCAGTTAGAAAAATTAAGTTTTCAGCTGTTTTTAAACTAACTGAAAATGGAAGCTATCTTGACTTACAGTCTCTTGCTGTTTTTTTGTCTGAACATTTCAGATCTCACTAGTGTAATAGCTGAATGAAACGCTTAGACATCTCGATCCATTTTTTTCATAAGCATGGTATTCTTGGTCTGACAGCTACAGTTCTTTAACGTTAAGTTTAGACTTCATGGTTTTGTTAGTGCAATTACTACAGAATAGTTTTCTTTGTAATTATTTTCAAGAAAAACAAAAGCAATTGCTGCGGTTTCTAAGAAACTGCCGTGAATCCTTTTAGTCGTACTGTTGAACAACTACTCCCAAGTCTGCTGCTTGTCAGGAGAGGGTGACATCAGGTGCATGATGCGAACCACAGAGGGAAGGAGCAGCAGCTGGGAGAGGTGACCAGCACTGACAGGTTCTTATCACAAGTGCTGAATTTTATGAATGTCGTTGGAATACGCTGTGACAATTTTTAGCTCGGTGTTTTGCGTGCTGGTGAACTCGGGGCAAGGGGGGGGTGTGTTTCTTGGCATTTAAACCTGATTATCTCTGGATGAAGCTGCCATGGAGAAAGGGTGTCTCTGGGCTCAGCTTCGTGGGAGGGGGCGTGCAGATTCTCTCTCATGGGCAAAGTCGTTGATTAATTGCACTTTTTATGATCCTTTAACCTCCTGGCTGGGAACGCAGCAGCCAAGGTAAAGGCACAGTGTCAGTACAACAAATCGAAGGCCTACCTCCGTCACTTTATGGCATAGTCTGGGTGTATAAAAATCTGTCAGAAACAGGTTTTAGGCCTTAAAATTTAATCCGCTAGCATGTGTTGCTGTTCCAGTCCCTGTGTTGGAGGAATTGTAGGCTGGAGCTCTTCCAAGCTGCTGTACCAATGCCATCAGCATGCCCCCTTCCTTGATTCAGGACATAGCTGCAGTGCAAAGACATTTTTTTTCCGTGAAGAGCTTGAAAGAGTTCTGCTAATCTAATATAAAATAGCGTTTGGATCACTAGCGGTGTGCCCCGATCCGTGGGCAGCCAAAGCTCAGAGATCCAGCAGCCATTAGAAACTTTAGAAACCAAACTCCCGTTTGTTGTCATGTCAGAACTGTTTGTGACACTACTTAACTCATTTTTTGCATGGACCTCCGGGCTGCAGTCAATCCATGTGCTGAACAGACAAATCACAGCTCATCGTAAGATTTCTGCTGCCTCAAACTTCTCGTACTACAGTCCTTCAAAATACACGTGTAAATCATGCTGCAGTAGAGTCATTCAAAAGAAGAATATATATTTCACAATGACAAGCAGTTTATAATAAATTACTTGAATTGTCAATATATTTAAGAAATTTATGGTTTGGAATATTTGAAGTTAACGCGCAGTCTGGGCCAGCAGCAGTGACAAAGCCCTGGTGGTGTACATGGGTTTCATAGCTGAGGGCTTTCAGTCGGTGCCGATGCCTCATGCTATCAAGGGTGACAATGTTGGTTTTAGGCCGGTGAAATCGCCCAGCACTAAACTACATGTAATCGCGCAGGACTTAGAGGGGTTTTTGTTTTGTTTCACGTGTGTTGAGAAAGCCTTTTTTTTTTTGTCTTTAAGGTGAATATTTTTTTATTTAGAACACATACTGTGAACTGTGTTCAGGCAGGGTAATAATACTACTGAACAATACGAGACGTTATTGAAGAAATCAGTTGTGAGAAATATTTTAACTGAACTTCTGCCGTGAATTTTATCATCTCAATTACATTTAATATATTCTGGTGATGTTCATATATAACAGAGAAGAGTTGTATTTCACCCTGTAACTGGCATTCATGTAAAATACACACAGAGTTAGACGTTTTAAAGTGGCTTTAATATTTTTAAAGCTCCTTAAACATTCTGCTTTTGGTTAAATGAACGCTGTCCTTCTTTTAATCTCTATTTCTGGAAAGATTCTTCTGCAGTTTAAAAATCCGCAGCCTCTGGCCAGCACCAGCCTTACCCTCTTCCCCAGGAGCTTCGTGGATCAGCGTGGTTTCAAATCGCCGCTGCTCCACATAGCACCTTCGTTAGCCAGGATTTCTTTCACAGCACCATCGAGCTGACCACGGCCTAGCGGCGAAGAGGGAGGAGAAGTCGCAGCTCCCTCTCTCTTCACACCCAGCAGAGGGAACGTGAAACCGTTTTGGGGGGTGAGCTCACACGCGGTTATTTAGCTTTCTGAGGGTGAGGAGGGGAGGAAGGACGTTTCGAACCCCGGGGGTTTCAATCAAAGGCAGGGCAGGTCCAGTTTTGTCCCAGCCAGCATTTGGCGTAGCCTCATTTCTAAGAATTGGATGTTAAAATCCATATTTGGAGTTGTTTATGGGGCTGTGCAATTACCATTCATACCACATGAATATGCACGCTGCCTTGTAGCAGGAAGCTCTATTTCACTCCCCTGTAAAGCCGAAGGAAACAATTATCCATTGTAAGCACGCTGAAGTATTTGTAGTGTTGCCAGAAGAATTAACTTGGGGGAGCCCCTGCCAAAGTATCTCCTCCTGTACCTTGGCCAGCCTGTGAAACCACCGCGCTGGCTTCCACTCTGCTGCCGGTCAGGGCTCCCGAGATCTTTCATAGTAACGCTTTTTCTTCAGTTTAAGAGTTTTCTTTCTAGCCCCAGCACTTCTCAGGGTAGAGTGGCCAGTGGTTTATTTCTTTGTGTGCCCCTTACCTTATCTTTTGATACAGAGTTGATTTTTTTTTTTTTTTTGGTCACGATTTTATGTGTTTATTGCCGAAGTTGTGGGAGGAGAGATTTGAAGGGGCTTTTTTTTTTTAACTCCTGGTGACAATAAGCGTCACTTTTTGTTTGTCGGTGTTACTGTACAGTCAAATTCATCCAACGTGCTCCATCTCTTTGGGTCTTTACTGCAGTAGGCTTAAGGTTCAGTGGTTTCATTCTGTGTTGCTCTATACTGTACGCAATTTTAACATATTCTGCTGCTGTCCCGGTGACATGCAACACCTCGGACATGAGATGCCATTAGTGCTCAGATTCTCAAGTGCTGTAGTCGGTAAGCTGCACATCTAGAAATATCTCGCATGAGAGCGGAGAAGCTCCAACTTTAAGTGCTCAGAAAGGCGTAGCATGGATTTTGCACCATTGGGTTATTGCAAGAGTCCAGTCAGGTCTGCACTGTTCGTGGATGGCAATCTCAGACTCCAGAAGCAATAATTTCTTAGGAATGTTTCTCTTCCTGCTGGTTAGATGACTTTCATAGAGATTTATTACCTAAATAGCCTTTTAATAACATGAATCTGGTCATTTGCTAGCGCTGGCAGTAAGCAGTTATGGAAAGATGTGGGTTGTTCATCATCAGAAGGGAGGAAGCCAGTAAATCCAACGGAGGTTAGTGCTCCTTGAAACACACAATGTCCTTTTCCCCTTGGAGCCTTTTTCTAGACTATGAAATACTCTCGGCTCAGCGGGCTGAAAAGGAGGCAGCTGCGAATTCAGCCGCCCGGTTTTCTTGCCAGTGCCGATGCTGGCGTGTGGACCCCATGATGAAACAGGCTTGCGTGAGGTTTTCCACAGAGGCATGGAAGCGGGGGCTGAGCTTTTCTCATTCCTCTCCGTTCCAATCTGAATCTTCCCCCCCCCCCCAGCACTTGGAATGACAGCGGCAACAACAGTGATTATTGCCAGGTACCTCATTAAAACCTCAGTTCCATCATTAGAAACGCACCCACCCGCCCTCGGTTGGTGATGAGCTCGGGCTTCCTCCAACATCCACCATTAAAGGCAGGATTCGCATGGCTACCAGAGAGGTCGTGCGGCCGTGCAGATCGAGATCACATTTACAAATAAAAGTGGAGAAAGTCACCATTTGTTCCTGGGAGAGCTCCCTCCACGTCTGGGCAGGAGGGAAGTTCGGGGGGGGCTTCCTTCCCGGAGGTGCGTCGCAGGGGTCACCTTTCCTTTTCGGTGGTCGCTCACGTTTTTAGTAATTTTGTGTAGACACGTAGCCGGGTTGCGCGAGGCTCCGTTGTTCGGTCCCTGCGATGAATTGTAGTTCAACCACTGAGACTTGGGGGTTTTTTAGGTGCGTGTGTGTGTGAATATGTATCTGTGTGTATATACACTTATATACACACTGCTCGGGCCAAAATACCTTGGGTGGTTGTGTGCTCGTCATCAACTGTACTCAACAAATGTTTCCAACTGAGTTCTTCCAGGTTTCCCTCATCCCAATCCCATGGGAGATGAGCTCAGCTATAAATATGTACCCTATTTAAATGAGTAAGTAAACTCCTGCATGATATTCCAAGCACATGTAGCAGCTTCGGCATCTGAAGTATCTATTGTGAAAGAGAAGTTGGTTTTATTTGCAGCTGTTTTGTCCTTGTTTCCTTTTAATAGGCCAAATAAATGTAACGAACACCAAATGTTGCACAGAAATGTTATTAATGACTGTGTAGAAGAAGAAATACCAAATTTTATTTTTCTTTGCAGAAACTTTATGGTTACAGAGAGTCCTCTAGCTGTTATTCTTCCTTAAACGACAAAGCTGAACGTTCGTTGACGTGCGTCGAAAATGGTCATTTTTAAAAAGCGGAGCTACCCAAAGTTTTTCTGTTTCTCATGTTGCATCCAGAACGTTGGCAGAGGCGAGCTGCAGAAGCTCATGTTATCAACCAGCCTTTTGTTTTCAAGGCTGAGCAGTTAGGAAATTGTGTCGGATAACCACAGAAAGGCTGGGTTGCCTTTTCGTAATGTCACGCTAACGCCTGCCGGGGCACCGAGGTCTGTTCATTGAGGTGGTTTAGTTCTTTAATTTAAATTAAGATTGCCTCCTGCAAAACCCGCTTGGTTTGGTTCCTCAAGCCGAGCAGCCCCGCGGCTCAGCTCTTCCAACCTCACCTTCCCTCGGCCCGGGGAGCACAGGGACGGTGAGGGGAGCCCGGGAGGGGCAGATGCCTCTCCCCAGCAGGAGAGAGCATCTGCCGAACCAAAAAGGCTTTCAATGCCCTCATGACCTGCTGAAGCTGTAGCGAAAACCCCGGGCGCCGTTCAATTTGGCGTGCTCTGACACATTTTTTTTTCTTAAATTTTGAAATTGGGGGTGAAATTCTAGGAGCGTTCAGCCAAACCAGGCATCGCCTCATTTAGTCTGCGCCTCTTCCGTGGTAGCCAAAGTGTAGTAAATAGCCCCAAAACCCAGACAGACTTTTCTCTCAACAAATCGGCAGTTCCCAATATTTTTTTTTTTTGACCCCCGATGTAACATGAACACTAAGCCCTTTTGGTAGCCAAATGACCAGCTTATTTTAAATGCCTCATATTAATAGAAAGCTGCATATAGGCATCTCATAGCGGAAAAAAAAAAACCAAAAAAAAAACCACAAAAAAAAAAAAGAGAGAATATTTAGTTCCTTTGTGAACTGGCCATATGACAACTACTTTTTTATCAACTTATTAAGTTGGGGCACTATAATAGCTCTTGCTGAGTTTAGCAATGTTTATAAGCATGTGTTAAACACATAATGTTAAGTTTTATGAGGAAAAAGGGATAAAGAAAAGTAATGTCACAGATGAATGTTTGAGTGCGTAGACGGCATAATGTATGTATGGTTTTTATTTCTACACTGTAGAGCTTATTTTCTGTTTTAAGGTTAAAAAAGAGATTTGTTGCATGAGAACTGTTTTACTGTGTTCTGCACTTTCTGTTCCTTTTGTATAATCTTGATTTTTTTTTTTCCATTTACGCATAGAAAAGAAAAATCAATTTAGAAATATTCTACTCCACAAGACATTGCGTTCCAATCCGTTGTTCTGAAGTTCGATCTTAATAAACATTTCCGTAAGAGTTGGTGGCTCGCGTTCCTGTGTTCTTTGTAGGGAATGTAAGCAGGACGAGGGAAAACAGCCTCAGGTTGCGCCAGGGGAGGTTGAGTTTGGGCATGAGGAAAAAATTCTTCCCCGAAAGGGCTGTCAAGCACTGGAAGGGGCTGCCCAGGGAGGTGGTTGAGTCCCCATCCCTGGAGGGATTTAAAAGAAGGATAGATGAGGTGCTTAGGGACAGGGTTTAGTGGTGGGGTGGCAGGGTTAGGTTAACGGTTGGACTTGATGATCTTAAAGGTCTTTTCCAACCTAAACGATTCCATGATCCGATGGCAGAGTCGTGCGGCATTTCAGCAATGCTCCCTGCCCCAGGCCAAACGCTGCTGCTGCTTCTCCTCGTCCCTAAGCTGTGCAAGACAAATAACATTCACTTACTTCCCAAAGCTTAATTAATATTTCTAAAAACGCTGCTACCAAATATTAGCTGACAAAAAAACCCCAAGTGTTACAGTTCGCAAAAGCTTGAGAAACTCACCTGAGGCAGGCAGGGTTCAGGTGTAAGGAAGGAGGGAGCACAGACAGAGCCGCAAACCAGAGACGCCTGGGAGGGGCACATGTCCCCCACCACAGGCTCTGCTCTTGCCTGGATTGCTCTGACCCAGCCCCAGGAGGAGATGAGGGGTGGTGACTGTCACCTGCGAAACCAGCAAAGTCCCTCATCTCCCCATGCCACCACCGAGAGCGGTACCGGGGCCAAAGGGCTGTGTCTGGGGTCTGCCCTTTTGGGGGGGGCCCTGGCTCTTGCCCTTGCAGCAGGGAGGGTCTCGTCCCTCCTCTGCCAGCACATCAGCCTTCTCCCACTCTGCCTTACCAGGGAGTGAGAGCCCTCTGCATGGGACGGCCTGGGGGCATTTCATCTTCCAAAGCAACCAGTTCACATCCAAACTGATGAACCATAAGCAACTATTCTCAAGTTACAAGAGAGGGGAAAGCCGGGGGGATCTCTGTGTCAGATTACAAATCTGAGAGGGTTAAACTTGCAATGTGAAGAACTGGGTCGTCCCCTGCTTTGATTTCTAGCAGTTTACTCAACGGATTATATCTGTGACTTCTCCTGAGGGTGCTTCTTCAGAATCGGTATCAGCAGCTCAGAGAAGTTGATGCCCGTGCAGCGTTTGGTTTAGTTTTGACTAAACACAGCTCAGTTGCGCTCTGTTTTCTCACTGGACCTGAGGTTAAGGAAGAAGTGAAAACACAAAATGCAGTAAACCTGACTTTAGGCCTGGGCTGTGAACTTGCTTTTTCACCAGCGCCAAGGGGAGAGCGTGGACCCTGCCTCGTCAGGGAAGGAACTGCTCCAAATACCTATGGAAGACCCAGAGGAGGGCTGTGCTGGTTTTAGCTGGGAAAGACTTAATTTTCTTCATCATAGCTAGCACAGGGCTGCTATGAGATACGGGAGAAGGAGCAAGTGGCCAGCTGGGGTTAATCCACAACAAAGACAGAAGTCTCACCACTGCCTTCCACCTGACAGAGCCCAAAGTGAAGCGGGGATTAAGTGGTAGGGACCATCCTGCATCCCCAGCCTCTCCTGGCGCAATTAAGAGTGAAGAGGCCAATGGGATGTGAAAGCAGCAAAGAAATAAACCTGAACCTCCCTGGAGTCGGTCTCACGAGGTGTGACACTGAGCCCCTCTCTGGCCATGCATCCCCCCCGTGTATCTGCACATCCCATCCCTGTGCCTGCTCCCTCTTCCTCCTTTCCAGTGCTGCAGTAGGACGCGGCCAGGGCAGAGCGGCAGGCATCAGAAACCTCTTGGGTGCTGTTGTTCCTGCAGGGTGATCCCCGGCAAGGCGGAGAGGCGAGAAGGCTCATTGCTCGGCTCAGGAGACGCGACAGCCCCTGTGACCCTGGGAGGGGGACGCTGCCATCCCCAGCCAGGGGCACTGGGTCCCTCCTTGGGGTGGGAGCGGGGCGTCGGGTCTGGGCTGACCAAAGCGTGCTGAGGAAGGGCAAGGACAGAGGAGCTGCGTCGCTCCCCAAGCTCTCACTCAAGTTAAACACAACCATTGTTACAAAATAGCTCACAGTGGCCTTGGAGCAGCTGGGAATGGCTCAGAGAGGTGCCTGCCCCAGTACTGCCCTGGCTTTCCAGTCTGGACAGAGGACAGAACAGCCAGCAAACCAGTATCTTCCCCCCAGTCTGCCCCAGAGGGGTCAGTCCCTGCATCCCTCAGGCTTTAAAGCAGCTGGGGTGGCATCTCTCCCATCCTGGGGGAGGGTGGGGAAGGGGTGGCCATGGTCACAATGTCCATCACCAGCCCTCAACGGTGGAAGGGGAAGTAAAGCTGCCTGCTGCCAGGGGTTAAGTATTTACAGAGGAAAAGCCAAAGGCTGCTTGGCACCGCCTCTGCGTGGCAGCTGCTGCTGGTTGCAGGCTCTGCTGAGAAAACCCAACCCCGCCATGCCCTGCAGGATCAGGCCCTATTGCGCACCCTGTGTGGTTGCCCCCACACAGGCACCAAGTGGAGCTGAGACCTCGTGCGCTCCCAGACCACCCCCTCCCCACGGCTGCCCACTCCCCAGCAGCTCCGGCCTCGCTGTGCGATGTGCTCGTGCGTACAGAGCTCGCTGGGGACGCAGGATGTACCTGTGAGGTGTCACCATCTTCCAGGTGGTGACACCATGCACACACACTCAAGTCGGGGTGCCATGCAGCGGGCAGCCCTTCACACCCTGAAGAGGGGCAGGAGGCAGCCACGCAGCAGGGAACCAGCTCTGGAGAGCCAATGTGATGACAGGGGGGTTGCTGTAGGACAGTGGCCCAAATCCTGGGGCCAAGGGTGGCCAGCAGCTGCTGCTGCAGCTCCCAGCCCTGAGCAGGCAGCGTTTGCCTCCTTTTCCAGGTCTGGGAGGCTGCGCTGGTGCCAAGTGGCATTTGTGCAGCATCCACCCTATCCTGACACCTGGGCTGGCACAGAGGCCACCTACCCCTGCCGAGAGCAGGGGACCTGTGCTGAGGCACTGGGGTAAAGCAGCCACGGAAAGGGAAGCCAGACACCAGGGGAAGCCTGCAGGTTACAATCCTACCTCGTCCTCGACCCCCAAGCAGCAGCTGACCCCATCACATCAATGCCATGCAGCAAAAAGCAGCCCCTGCCAGGGGGTGTCCCTGGGCAGGCGTGGGGAAAGGGCTGGCAACACGGCAGCCGAAATGGATGCAGAAAGAGCAAGAGAGGTAAGGAATTCATGGCAGTGGGGTGAGGCTTTTTGCTTCATTTGCTCTAAAAGGCCGACAGCGAAAGGCAGGATTCAGTGGGGACTTATGGAGAAAGGGGCCACGTCCTACAACCAGGCCTGCAGCAGCCCATGAACACAGGCTGGAAGGTAGAGGAAGGGGCTGTTTCCTACCTCACTGTGTGGCCTTGTCAGGAAGATCACAGCAAGCACAAGCCAGCCTGAATTCCCAAGCGGCTCCCGTCTCCGCAGCCAGAGACACTTCTATTTCTAGAAGCAAGCTTCTATTTCTAGAAGCAAACACTGCCATCCCTTGGTTTGAATCACAGAACGATAGAAGTGCTCATGTTGGAAGGGACCCATAAGGATCATCGAGTCCAACTCCCTGCTGCTCACAGGACTACCTAAAACTATGACTAAGGGCTCCTTGCACTCTGACGGGCTTGGTGCTGCAACCACTTCCCTAAGGAGCCTGTTCCACTGACCGACCACTCTCTCCATGAAGAACCTTTTCCTAATGTCCAGTCTGAACTTCCCCTGACACAGCTTCATCCCATTCCTCGTGGCCTGTTGCTGGTGACCAGAGAGAGGAGATCAGCACCTCCCCCTCCGCAGCCCCCCCTTAAGGAAGCTGTAGTCTGTGATGAGGTCACCCCTCAGCCTTCTCTTCTCCAGGCTGAACAAGCCAAGTCACCTCAGCCGCTCCTCCTTGGTCACCTTCCTCTGGACACACTCAAATAGTCTGATGTCCTTCTGCATCAGGAGAAGCGTGGCCAGCAGGTCGAGGGAGGTGATTCTGCCCCTCTACTCTGCTCTGGTGAGACCTCACCTGGAGCACTGTGTCCAGCTCTGGAGGCCTCAGCACAAGAAGGACATGGAACTGTTGGAACGGGTCCAGAGGAGGGCTACAAAAATGATCCGAGGGCTGGAGCCCCTCTCCTATGAGGACAGGCTGAGAGAGTTGGGCTTGTTCAGCCTGGAGAAAAGGAGGCTACAGGGAGACCTGATTGCAGCCTTCCAGTACTTAAAGGGAGCCTATAG